AGTGTTAGAGTTCAGGGTTCACAGTTCAGTAGCAGGTACTGAGGGGGGCAAGGGTGTTGAGGAGCTGGACGGCGTGGGGCAATAAGCTACTACACAGTCTGGCTGACTTGGCTCGAATGCTGTGGTACCGTCTGCTGGACAGCAAGAGCACAAAGAGCCTGTGTGCAGGATGTGTGGGGTCGGCCACAATGCTGGACGCCTTTCAGAGGCTGCGTGTGCAGTAGACATTCTGTATGGGGGGAAGAGAGACACTGATGATGTCCTCTGCTGTCTGGACAATCTTCACCAGTTAGATACAGAGGATGATTAGGAGGCCATATTTGACAGGACCACAGGAGACAATTTTAGCCAGGACATCAGGGTACCACCGCTATTCTTGTGAAAGACAGAGTATATATGAGCATAAATGTTGAATTTTGTGTGTATAGTAATTGCACAAAAATTATAACTGTTACCAAAGTTGCCCTTTATGTTAAATTATTGTGTGTCAATAAACAGTGATAAATTCAAACTGAACTTCTGATTGTCCTGTGATATATAATCAATAAGTAAATTAAATATGATTGAAAATGAAATCAACAGGTGGTGATAATACCTTTGAAATGCATAAACTGTGTGTGGTATGTAAGTGAGCTAAATATTTTTTGAGTGCAGAGAAGCATGACTCGTCTCTACACAGAACGCATTTCCACTGCTCCAGAGCCCAGTGGCAGCGTGCTTCACACCACTCCATCTGACACTTGCCATTGTGCTTGGTGATGTGAGGCTTGCATGCTGCTGCTCAGCTATAGAAGCTCATTCCATGAAGCTCCTAGTGCACAATATGTGCCTCAGCACTCGGCAACCTGTTACATTACATGAGTTCCTGTTGTTCCTAAAGGCTTCCACTTTACAATAATACCACTTACAGTTGACCGTGGAATAGGCCTATCAGGGAAGAAATTTTACTAATTGAATTATTGCAAAGGTAGCATACCACGATTGACTTTACTGAACTCCTCAAAATGACCCAATATTTCACAAATGTTTGTAAACTTCACTGCATGCATGGCTAAGATGGCTACTTGATTTTATATGCCTGTGGTAATGAGTCTGAATGGATCACTTCGATTCAATGCTTAATAGGTGCGCCTCAATACTTTTGCCCACATAGTGTACTACCCCCAATTATACATCCCCTTTGCCTGTTGAAACACAAGTTCCAACTTGAACTGTTTCCATGGTTTATTTGCACTTTTGTCTTTGCTGGATGTGCTTCTATGTTTAGTCATGTCCTAAATCTGAACAGGGAAAATCCACACACTCCTGACAAAAGTAATGCTCTGTTGCATTAACAAGATAACTTATTTGGTGAAGTTAGGGAAGCACCTTCAGAAAAGATGATGTTCCTTTGCGTGACTGGCTGACTGACTTATACCTGTCACCCAAGTAGAAGGAAACTTTCAAGATTGACAAGTGTTTTTGTAACAGCCTATAATTATTATTCTCAGCGTTTTTTTTTCTGAAAAACCGAAATTACAGTTAAAATTCATAATCAGAGTATAAAGACAAAGAAAAAAAATTTTTATTGTCCGCGCGGGTTTATATCATTATGAGCGCCTGCCCCAGAGTATTGCGCAATTGCGCGCGCGGGGATTATAGGGATCATTGCCCACAAACCCTGAGGTGGAAAACCGCAAGGCTGCTGGCTGAGCCACTCAGACACGTGCCACCAATACAGTACAGTATCGTTTCTATGCAAATACTCTATATGGTTACAGTAGGTCCCTTTACATACGG